TCACCTCAGCCTCCCAAAGGTGCGGGATTACAGGCTGAGCCACCGAGCCCGGCTTTTAAGTTTTTTAAAATGTTGTTTAGGGACATTTGGATGGAGAGCAGTTCAGCACAGGATGGACTCCTAATGAATTACAATTCATTATGAGGTGACAAGAATCATACACTACTGCTCCGGACTACATTGTATGCCATCCAAATGGGAAACTTTTTTATGATTTCTACTTAGAGTTTCCCTGCTTTGGCAAAAGCACCTACATTATTCAAAATCATAGGAACTACGTTTTAACACTATATTGGCAGCAAGTGGAAAATTACAATGAATTTACACGTGAGTTCAGTATTGCTATTTTTTTATGTGAACCAAACAGCATTATGCCATTGTAGGAAATCCCACCAGAGATTGCATGTTCATCAGATTTTAGGATGAAACAAGCTTGGAAAAATCATCTACTTCATATGATCCTACCCCCAGTCCTCAGGCACTTCCAAAGCTAAACCTGTCTGGGCTAAAGAGATTGTGCTTTTTTGAAAAATGCTCAGGAGTGCACGTTCTGCAGTTTCTTTCTGTGTCTAGGTTGTCATCTAACAACAATCACTGCTAGGATCTGCATACACACAACCTCAAACCCACATGGTAATTTAAATCCATTTTCTCCAATTTAATAGAGAGGTCACTCAGGCCTTATTCAAAAGAGATCAGATAGATAATGTATGGGGAAAGCTCTTAGTAAAACTGTAAATGCTGATTAACTGCAGGGAATTCATAAAAATATCATGTGGTTCAAAAATTGCATTATGCTTTTCCCTTCCTTTTGTTTTCTGGCACAGAAGAATGTAGAAGACAATTCAGAATTGGAAAAGTAATAGTTCATTTTTAAGTTACTTAGTGACCACATCTAATTTAGGGGGGAAATCTATATTGACAGTGCAGGAAACATCTTGCTTCACTGACACTCTTCCTCCTTTGCCTCTTCCCCTTTTCCACTTGTAGAATGGCTCAAGAACTTGCATAAAAGATAGTTACGTTTATAATTACTTCTTGCTTATGTGGAAAACCAAACAGCAAATTGCAGTGTATATATGGACTTGACATTTTCTGTAATTCAAAGTGGTAAATTATAAGGGTCAGGTCTGTTGTGGAGATCACAGAAAGGCCTTACCCTGCAACAGAGAGTGGGAGTAGGGGTGAAGCCAAATAAAATATGCGTCTGGTAGGTGCATTCACTTTAAATTTTCCAAAATGGATATTAAGGAAAATTTAGTGATGTTATCAGTAAGCTCTATCAGATTCTGTATATTACAGTCACAAATAGAGAAACCAGCGCCTAAATCAAAGCTACTTTCCACCTGGTAAAGATATTGTTTATGGGTTTCCAGAAACTGTTTGAAAATTTACCTGCAAATTATTTAGTCTTAGCATGGAAAGGACCTTTGACAATCAGTTTTTCTAATGTCTTGCCTTTGGGTAGGCTGGTAAATAGCTAAGCTATCCTGCACAGATACTTACTGATATCTTCCAGGTCTCTAGGGATCCCACAAATTCCCTGAGCCCATGTCAGGGTAGCTTTCCAGAAAATACTCTCTATATATATCTCCTAAATCTCTCTCTCCTAGTGCAATTTATCCCTATTACTTTTTGAATGATTCCCTACAAATTTCTTTTTTTTTTTTTTTTTGAGTTGGAGTCTCACTCGGTCACCCAGACTGGAGTGCAGTGGCCGCTCCCGGCCACTGCAGCCTTACCTGCTGGGCTCCAGCGATCCTTCCGCCTCAGCCTTCCAAGTAGCCGGAATTACAGGCATGTGCTACCACGCCCGGCTGATTTTTTGATTTATTGTAGAGACGAGGTCTCAGCTGCCCAGGCAGGTCTCAAACCCGCGGGCTCAGGCAATCCACTCGCCTCAGCCTCCCAAAGGCGCAGGATTACAGGCTGAGCCACCGAGCCTGGCCCCTACAAATTTCAAAGGCAAAACAATTATTTTATAAGCTTAAATGAAAATGTCAAGGCAGACAGGTTTTATCTGTACCTTGGGGGTGATGTTTATTTTTTAAACTAAGAAATAATTTTCCATATATCTACATAAGGTGCACAAATTTAGACTGGAATACATTCAAACATTATAGACATTTGGAAGACTTTGCAAGTTCTAAGTAGTCCTCCTTTAATTGATTATTTTTGGGTGGGGATTTATATCGTTGACCTTTAAATAGATCATTGAAAGGAAGGAAAATATTTGTGGCTGCATATATTAAAACATTTTAGGTTGGAGAATTATATTTTTAAAAAAACAAAGTAAATATAAAAATGGATATTGGTTTCTGTCATACTTCCTTTGGCTTAAATATGTGGTAGTCTCAGACATGGTAATATAGTACCATCAAAGGAGACTATCCCAAATTTATATAAGAAAGTATATTATCTTGATTTAAGAGAAGAGTGAAATCTCAGTAAAAATTAAAGGGTGAGGTAAAATAGAGCCCAACCTTGGAACTTATAGATTCAGTGAATCTACTTTAATGTAAAGGGAACATTAGAAATATATTGTGTGAAATGAACTTTATAATAGGTTCTGAGAGACTGCAAAAGAAACTCTTTCCTGTAAAACCAAATAATTATTTTTTGTGGAAATAGTTGATCATTCCATTAATAGTGGCAGCCATTCTATTTCTGACTTGTACACTTATAAGTAATTTTTTTTATTTCTTTTTTTATTTTAAAGATGTGGGGTATACTTCAGGGTTAGGTATACAAACATTGATTATGCAGGTACCCTTGTTGAAGAGGTATGCCCCTCCCTCCCCTAGCAGTTTCCCTCTACTACCAATCCCATCCCCTCCTCCCCTGACAGTTTCCCACTAAGGATTCCCAGTTTGCCAATCCCTTTCCTACAGCATTATGATAATTGTTCAAGGTCTGCTTATGAGTGAAAACATATGGTACTCTGTTCTTTGTTTCTGTGATAGATCACTGAGTATGATAGACTCGAAATCCATCCAAGTTGCTGTGAAGTCCTTATGTTTGTCCTTCTTTATGGCTGCATAATATTCCATTTTGTATATGTTTTTTTAATCCAGTTCAGCTTCGATGGACAACATGGTTGTTTCCATGTTTTTCCTATTGTGAATAGAGCTGCATCAAACATATGTGTGCAGGTATCTTTTTTGTAGAATGATTTGAGTTCCTCAGATATATTCCCAATAGGGAATTGCTGGGTCATATGGAAGGTCAATTTCTAGATCTTTGAGAAATCGCCACACTGCCTTCCAAAGAGGTTGTACTAGTTTGCATTTCTACCAGTAGTATAGAAGCGTTCCTTTCTCTCTGTATCCTCACCAGCATCTGTTGTTATTTTATGAATGATGGCCATTCTTACTGGGTGTAGCTAGTATTTCAGTGTGGTTTTGATTTGCATTTCTCTGATGATGAGTGAGGCTGAGCACTTTTTCATGTGTCTGTTGGCTGCCCATATATCTTCTTTTGAGAAGTGTCTATTCATGTCTTTTGCCCACTTTTGAATGGAGCTGTTTGTTTTTTTTCCTTTCTGCACATTTGATTTCCCTTGTAGATCCTAGATGTTAGGCCTTTGCCAGATATACAGTTGGCGAATATTTTTTTCCCATTCTGTGGTCTGTCTTCCTGCTCTCTTGATGGTTTCTTTGGCTTTGCAGAAAAGCCCGTTAATTCGATGAGATCCCATTTGTCTATCTTATTTCTTAAGGTATGGGCATTTAGGGGTTTGAATAGGAATTGGTTCCCAGTTCCATTTTCCATAAGGGTGTCTCCTGTGTTTTCTAAGATTCTTATAGTTTGAGGTTTTATGTTTAGGCCTTTGATTCGTTTACAGTTGTGTGTGTGTGTGTGTGTGTGTGTGTGTGTGTGTGTGTGTGTGTGTGTGTGTGTATGGTTATAGCTAGGGGTCCTGTTTCAATCTTCTGCATGTGGTCAGCCAGTTTTCCCAGTACCATGTACTGAATAGGTTCTCCTCTCCCCAGTGGTTGTTGTTGGAGGCTTTAACAAAGATGAGTTGGTTGAGAAATTGAGGCTTTGCTTCTGGAATCTCTATCCTGTAACATTGGTCTACGTTCCTGTTCTTGTACCAATACCATACTGTTTTGATTACTGTAGCCTTATAGTAAAGTTTGAAGACTGGAAGTGTGCTACCTCCTGCTTTGTTTCTTTTGCTAAGGATTGTTTTGGCTATTCATGGTCGTTTATGTTTCCATATGAATTTCTGTTTTGTCGTTTCTAGGTCTGAGAAGAATGATGTTGGTAATGTAATGGATATTGTGTTGAATCTGTAGATTGTCTTGGGTAGGATGGACATCTTAACAATGCTGTTTCTTCCTATCCATGAGCATGGAATATTTTTCCATTTGTTTGTGTCTTCTTGGATTTTTTTGAACAGTGTTTTGTAGTTCTCATTGTAAAGTTCTTTCACTTCTCTGGTTAGGAAGATGCCGAGGTATTTCATTTTTTTGGTGGCTATTGTGAATGGGTTTGTACTTTTAATTTGGATCTCTGTCTGCTTGTCGTTGGTGTATAGGAATGCAACTGTCTTTTTCACATTTCTTTTGTACTCTGAGACTTTGCCAAAGTCTTTTATCAGTACAAGCAGGTTTTTGACAGATTCTCTTGAATTTTTGAGGGTTAGTGTTAGGTTAAGGTTGCTGTGAAGATGATGCTTGAGATTCATTTGGGCTGTGGATGAAAGAAAAATGACGGGCAGTAAAAATATTGTTTCTCTAGGATATTTTCTTTAATCATTTTAGAATTGCATAGTTTGCCTCTGAACAGTTGGTTCAAGCAACACTTTTATTTATCTTTACTAGGTCAATAAAAGCTTAGTGGGTTTTGAATTTCCTAACTAGGTTTTCTCCTCTCCCTACTACTTTCTTCCCAGATTATAACCAAACATGCTTAGATAAGAATTCTGAGCTCGGTGGTATAAGCATGGAGAAATGTGATGAAAAATTTATTCTTTTCCTCTTTCTCTTGGTCAGTGTGCTGGAGAAGAGAAACGAGTTGGTACACGCACAGTGTTTGTTGGCAACCATCCAGTTTCAGAAACAGAAGCTTACATTGCACAAAGATTTTGTGATAATAGAATAGTCTCATCTAAGGTAAGTTGTTTTTTTAAAAACAATAGATTTTCATATAGTGAATCAGATAATACACTTATTTTTACGTTCCTGAGGACACTGGTACATTTGTATATGCATACATGGATGTACATTTATACAAATTATATTCCAATTATGATAATTACTCCTCTGACAGGCAGTTTATTTTCTTAAAAAACCATCACTGTCTTGTTATAGATGAAAGATCATTTACTTGACTTCCATTATGATTCACAGTGCCTGTTGGTTATGCATATTACTTTAAACCTTAAAGTGTGCTAAAAGTAGGAATCATTTACTTTTGCAGAGCTTTTTAAGTTACCCTTAAATGGCCAGACTAGGATATAAATGATTGGCATTCACTTGAAGGGTGCTGTCTCCTAAATGGTGCATTCTGCTTCTGCTCAGTGCAGGCTGGGCTTGTGACCTGTTAAGAATTAAATCACTGCAGCTGTGTAACTATTTGAATAATCTTCTTACTTCAGCATAGTGTAGCACTAAGGGCAGTGGCCTGGAAGTCTGAACACCTGTGTTTAAATCCTGGCCCAACCATTTGCTAACTATGTTACCTTGGCCAAAGTAATCTCTGAGTGTCCTCATTGGTGAAATGCAGCTGATACTCCATATGTGAAAACACTTCTTATACTTCCTAATACCCAGTGGTAGCACATTCTACAAGCATTAATTTGCTAATCTTTACCTCTGACTATACAGGCTAGGTGCTATGCGGAAGATGGCTGGCCCACTGTCATCTCTTGTAACATGGAACAGATCTTGATTTTCCTCATTTCTCATGCTTCCTGGCAAGGCAGAGATAAAGTGTTGGTGACATTTGGTTCATTCCATGTTTACAAGCACTTAAGACCTGAAACACGGAATTTTGCCCTTCCTTAAAAACTACAATAAATAATAAAACAAATTAGCCAGGTGTGGTGGCACTCAGAATCTCTACAATAAATCAAAAAATTAGCCAGGTGTGGTAGCGCGTGCCTGTAGTTCCAGCTACTTGGAAGGCTGAGGCGGAAGGATCGCCGGAGACCAGCAGGTCGAGGCTGCAGTGGCCGGGAGCGGCCACTGCACTCCAGTCTGGGCGACAGAGTGAGATCCCAACTCAAAAAAACAAACAAACAAATACAATCAGTAATGTCAGTGTAGCACTAACATTGTAAATGTTGTTAATGCAGGGAACACTAAATACAAATACTTTGACCTACTTTAAATTTTATTTACTTGTAAAATTCGTGTTTTCTTTTTCTCCTGGGAACATAAATTCTTTAGAAAAACTCATCTTCCTACTACCTTGCAGGGACTTCAGAAATTACTAGAATTTTGTAGCTAGTACAGATTGTGGAAATTCCCTTTTTTAGCAAAAAGAGCATTGATTGTACCCTGCTTGGATTTTTAAGATCTTTAGTTCCATCCTATTTATCTGTTCTATAGTTTGTTTTTTTCTTTAAAAACTCTGAACCTCGTCTTGAAGGCCATTCAGTAGGATAATTAGTGAGGTCAAACTAACTTTTTTTGAAGGTATGCCTAAAGTTTAGTTTGGTATTCCTGTGTGTAAAAATATCTTGAATTATAATTTCAAACCTAAAATTACCTGAACATTTTCCCTCATTTTGAAAATCAGAATCATACATAGAATTTATTAAACTTCCCTTTGTCTCACTCTTATCTATCTATCTGAAGGAGCCTTTTTAAAGTTACTAAATCCTGATCCAATTATTTTGTGGTAACTTCTTTTTCTCTTCCATTTGAATTTATGGTGGAAAGGACAATACTTTGAAAAAGGGAAAGTTCTGTGTGGCATTGGTAATAAAAATGAAAGTAGACAACTGTGATGCTCAAAACTGGCCTGCTTCAAGGAGAATTGATAATAACATGGATAGAATAATTTAATGAACAGTTAGCTCAAGATGGAGCTGCTTATTTACAACTAATCTTACAGTTTTTTTCATTGCATCCAAATCCTTCTAGTAGTATAGAAGAGACAGTGCTTATTCTGATAGTTCATTCACAACTGGCTGCTAACTTTTTTTTTTTTTTTGAGTTGGAGTCTCACTCTGTCACCCAGACTGGAGTGCAGTGGCCGCTCCCGGCCACCGCAGCCTCAACCTGCTGGGTTCTGGCGATCCTTCCGCCTCAGCCTTCCGAGTAGCCGGAATTACAGGCGCGCGCTACCACGCCCGGCTGATTTTTTGATTTATTGTAGAGATGAGGTCTCGCTGCCCAGGCGGGTCTCGAACCCGCGGGCTCAGGCAATCCACTCACCTCAGCCTCCCAAAGGCACGGGATTACAGGCTGAGCCACCGAGCCCGGCGGCTGCTAACTTTTTTTTTTTTTCTTTTTTTCTTTTTTTTTTTTTTTTTTCATTAATCAGTAGTTTTTATTATGGTTTTGTGGGGTACAGTTAAGGGTAGGTGTACAATGACGTTTCATTCAGGCACCCTGTAGATAAGAAGTGTTTTCCCATCCCCCGACAGATATTTGCTACTGTTAATCCCATCCCCCTCCCCCCCATAGTTTCCCAGTACCATCCGTCAGTTACTTTGAATAGCTGCTACTTATTTTTTACCTGCTTTCCTTTCATTGTGCTATGCAGACACATTAGAACAAGTTGTTTGTAGCTTTAGCTTCCTCATCAGCACTTCTAATGCTAAATTGAAAATATTGGGTAAAACAAAACAGGTAAAAACAAAGTTCTAAGGCCTCCTTTGTGTAAATGAAATAATAGATTTTCAAAACTGAGATTCACTTCAGAGTCTTTCTTCTGAATTTGGAAAGTTGTTTAGTAAATTTATAAGACGTCAGTTTCAAATTAAATTAGGTGGTAGATATTTAAGGCAGTGACCCGCAACTTTTTCACATAATTACATTTTTATTTTTTTTTATGGTTTTAAAGATTTTTTTATCTTAAAGATGTAGGGTACAACTCAGGGTTAAGTATACAAGTGGTTATTGTACAAATAAAGTTTGGTCCCCACTTTGCCTGGTTTGAGATCAGGTACCCTTATTGATGTTGTGTGTCTCCCATCTGCCTACCCCGGCAATATCTCACTACTGACAATCCTTTTCTTATAGTATTATGGTAAGTGTTCAGGGTCTGCTTATGAGTAAGAACACACATAATTGCATTTTTAGATGCCACATTTGTGTATAAATTATTTAATTCACTACAAAGCAGATGTAAAATACACTGCATATACATGGAAAGCTAGCATTTTTCTGTACAGTGTTGTTCTAGATGTCTGAGTTGTTTTTAAATTTTATAGTTGCACGATAAAATAGTATAAAAGATCCATTTACTGACTTCTCTGAGCAATAACTTATAAAAACTGAATTCTCATAATTTTGTTTAAAACAACTGTTATACAAATTTTCTTTCGGTGATTAACATTTTTTTTGCAATGAAGGTCATGCTTGAGAAAACATTGTTTTTTATTTGTAGCAACTGACCAAGCCTGAGAGTCTACTTTTTAGATAAACAAGTTCATTTTAATAACTTGATATATATGGCTCTAACTCAATTTCATTTTTAATTTTAAAACTCTCTAAAAGGTGGACTTCTCTTGGTCTGCATTAAAATATTGCATTTGTATTATTATAAAAAGGTGTGATAGAAGCTTAATTTAACTTTTACTTAAATCAGTGGAGTAAATGACCAAGGTGTAAGTTTTAGTCAATATTTCTTCTATGTACTAAACATCGTGCAAGGCATCTATGTTAAGGGGGCTTCTGACATGCTCCCTGAGTTCTGAATAGCTCATGACCTGATAAAAGAGAGAAGAGGGCAATAGAGTTCCTTAAGGAAGCAGTTCATTTAATAAGTTAAGACAGTGGGCAACTAACAATTGGGACTTAGAAACAACAAAAGTGTTCCCTTTTGATGTATTTTGCAGTAGCTTCCACAGATGACTCTCTTTAATGCTTGTTTGTTTAATTAAAAACACTTTAGAGACAGACGGTCAGTATGCCTTAAATTCAGCTGTTTGCCTGTTGGAGTTGGGCTTATTGTTTTAGAATGTTGATTTTAATAATTGGAACAGTTAAGTGCTAGGCTGAACTATGCCAGCTTCAAAGTGACAGGATCAGTGGCTTTTGTTTTTGGCCACAAGCTACCTTGGGAATCTCATGAAAAGTGTGGACTTTTTTCCAAGTGATGCACACCTATGCATAATTCTGCATTCATTTTTATATGATCCTCCCTAAGTCACTTCCTTGGACCCTGGGGAAGGACATTCTAAATTGGCTATTGATTGTAATGAAGCTGCTCCACATGTATTTGCTTCCATTTGTTTTCATTCTCTGGGGATTCTCTGAGCTTTGAGCCCATAAGCTTTTTTAAATAGTAGTAATAATTTCCCATATATTGTGTCATGGTCTTCGACTTTGGCTTTTCAGTCACCCTGTTAATTGGTATGTTCTCACATATTATGCAGATAATTGAGATGGAGATGTTTTGAGTGTGAATTTAGCCTTTTCAGTTAAGAAGCATTTCTTTCTAGTTTCTGGTCTTATTTAAAACATCTAGAAAATCCAGCTTCTTTTGGTGACTTTTAAATGATTCAGTCCTTGAGCTCCAGGTATCAGTAAGTGTATGGTTTGACTATTGGCCTAAGAGTTGTCTCCTTTGGCACATGTGCAATTTAGCATTGAAACCTTTACCTATTGCAAATTACCAAAACCCGGGATGGTATGTTGTTGATTAAAGTTAATGCCTTCTGTGACCCAGGGTTATACATACACCTTCTTGGCTGTCATGGAAATGAGAGGTACTGGTAGGGATCGAGTTACACTGTGATGATCATCAAGACTTCAGAATATAGCTGAGCCAGGGAATTAATTTGTTCATACCTTTTTATCCAAATCATTATTGTCTACTTTGTGCCAGGCACTGTACTGGGTATTGGGAAAAATGCAGTAAATAAGACGAATAAGCAGTCTCTTTAGAACTCTTTGTTTATTGAGGGAGAAATTTTAATTTAAAATGCATACATATGTAATTTGCCATAATATATGTTATCAAAATAGAATATATAGGATGATATGAAAGCACATAATGAGGAACCTAATTTAGATTGGGTCAGGGAAGGCAAGGGTATGGGACTAGATGGTTATTGTAATGCTTAGAGTGAAAATGTTATTTCTGAAAAAGTTTTTATATTCTGTAACTCTAAATATACATGAATGTGTGATGTTTGAGTTTCAAAGTGTTGAACATACTAAATATCACTTTATATAATAATCTGGACCCATATCAATCATAACAATTAAGATTTTTCAAGTTTTCTTTCTCATAGTGTTATTTTTTCCTCCTTTACAGTATACACTTTGGAATTTTCTTCCAAAGAATCTGTTTGAACAGTTTAGAAGAATTGCAAATTTTTATTTTCTCATCATTTTCCTCGTACAGGTAAGAGCTTCCTATATAGCCACTCAACTTTTAAAAACTTGATTGACTCAAACAAATTATCAATCCATTTCTAACTTTCAAATGCCCTGTGATTTCAAAAAACGATATTCCAGGGGCTTAATATAATATGACTGTTTAAAGTAGGAATATAATGTTTTAAGATTTTCATGATTTTAAAGATTTTTAAAGTGGCACTTTTACAGGAAGACTTGTTGAGATTTTATTTCACTGTTACACTCTTTTAAACTTTCATGGATTTCATATTTTTCTTCATCCTAGAAGGATATATATTATGTATCATTAAATGAAATGGTATGTATTAAGATGGATGATAGTTTAAGCTAATAGTTTTACTTTGTCAAACACTAGTTTCAGCCTAGTTGAAAACTTCTCATTTATCTTCCTGATTACCAGTTTTACTCTGTCTCATTCACTTACTCACTTAAGGGTGAAAACTTTACAGTAGATCGATCTGCTTTTCTGTGTTTCTTGTACTGTTTTGCCTTTTACATTTTAGATATTTTAAATTGTAGCTTTCATCTTTAAGTCTATAATCTATTAAAATCATTTCCTCACCATAATTACCCCCAGAAAATTTTACTATGTTTCTTTTTCCTAATTTTACTAAGATCCTTTTTTCCCATTTCATTTTTTAAATGAAGCAGAAAAATCCCAGCGATATTGCTCAAATGCCTTATCGATGTTAAGTGCTTCTGTTTACCCACTTTGAGGCTTTGAGTTAATGATACTCTAATTGAATTGAGCCCTACTACTTAAAACCAAACTGGGATATAACCTGGGATAGAGACAATTTTAATCCTGAATGATGGAACAGTTTTGAAAAGGAGCTCCTCTAGATCCATGATCAAATGTCTTATAGGCAAAGAATAAACTACATAGATGATTCTACTTGCAAGAACAATCTACTTGGTGAGCAGTATATTGCATTGTTGTTCAGTTCAGCAGACGTGTACCAAGCATCTATTGTGTGTTGTACAGTAGTACCGACAACAAAGATGGTAGCAGGTACAATGAACATCCTGAGAAATTTTTTTGTTTCTGAGAAATTTATGTTATAGCTAAGAAAGCAGTCAGTCATGTTTTCACTTAATTTAATGTAGCGAAGTCATTCAAGTAGCATGAGTAAAATGCTGTGGGGTTACAGTAGAATTTATTATTTTTTTCTACCCAGGAGAAGTTTGAGAAGGCTTTGGAAAGTAGATTATATCTGAATGGAGCCTTGGAGGATTAGAAGGGGTTTGCCTTAAGTAGAATGCTGAACTAGTGTCTCAAGAGTAGGGAGGGTATTGTCTAAAGGCACAGAGCCATGTAGAAGCTTTGTGTATATACAGAAGAATACACTCTATTTGTAACACAGGGGTAAGACAGGGGCAGGCCTGGCTAGAGTTGGAGATGAGAATCAGTGAGTTGTGAGAGAAGACTGAACTCATGATCCCCCTATCTCAAATCCAATTCTTTTTTAGTATTCCCTATGTCGGTGAATGATGACACCATCTACCCAGGCATGTTAACTAGATACTTGGAAGACATCTTTAATCAATACTTACATTTAACTCCCTACCAGTCCTGCCATTTTTGCCTCCTAAATATTTCTGAAACATTTTTCTTTGTCTACTGCTACCACCCTACTCCAAGCTGTCATCTTTCACCTAGTTTGCATCAGTAGCATCTTAAATGGACTCCCTGCCTCCTCTCTTGTATCCTTCCAATTCATCTTCCACAAGGTAGTGAGATTGTTCTTTTTGCCATGCAGTCCTGTTCATGTAACCTTTCCCTGCCTGAAACTTTGAGGATTTCTTACTATTTGTGGGATAATAAATGAACAGCTTACTCTGGCCTAGAGGGCCCTACATAGTTTGACCCCTTCCTCCCTCTCCAGCCTTGTCTTACACCATACTGCCTAGTACCACTGGCTTCCTTTACTTCTTAATGAGTGCCATACTCCCCCCAACACTAGAGACTTTGCATATACTGTTTGCTGTGCCTAGAAAGCCTCCTTTTGTCTAGTTAACTTTTATTTACCCTTCAAATCTCAGTATCTGCATACTGGTTTTCCCTGTAAGCTGCTAGCTACATGAAGGCAGGATCTTGTTGTCCTGTTTTAAAGCAGTATTTCTGGAGCCTGGATGATAATAGCATAGGGACTGACGGGATAGTACTCAATAAATATGTGGTAAATAAAGGGATATATTCCAGTAATGCAGTTAAACCAAGCTGAGATGAAAACTATGCCTGAATTTGAGACTATTTCTTAAACTGACTACTGTTTGGTTTGGTTTTATTTTCATGAAAATTAACATTCTTCCCTACTGCTGGAATGTGTTGTGTGTGCATTTCTGTTTGATGTGTTTGCAGCATGTAAGTACTGCTATGAGTTAATGGCTCATTTTCATTTTACTTTCAATTTAATTGCTTTACCTAGGTCACAGTAGACACACCAACTAGCCCAGTTACCAGTGGACTTCCACTTTTCTTTGTTATAACTGTTACAGCCATCAAGCAGGTAAATTTTTTATTTATGAGGGGAACCTCAAAAAACCCAGAATTATCTTTTGGAGGGCAGGCCCCTTACAAATAGTACCACTCGGAATGTGTTCCTCTGGATCAAATGGTCAACCAAAGTTTTTATTTAGAAGTTTTGAGAGGTTGCGTCATGATTTGTGGAGGAAACGTCCTGAGTTATGGCAAACAGGTGACTAGTTCTTCCACTGTGACAATGCACCTGCCCACACCACGCTGAGTGTTCAGCAGTTTTTGATCAAAAATTACATGACCCCCATTTCCCACCCAATCTCACCCTGAATGACATTTTTTTGTCGCCTCAATGAAAAACTCCACAAAGGGAAACATTTTGCTGATATGGAAAGCAACAAAAATGGCAGAAGTACTGAAAGGCAGCAAAATTGACAAGTTCAAGAACTGTTTTAAGCAGTGGAAAAAGCATCTCAATAGGTGTATTGCATCAGATGGAGAGTACTTTGAAGGTAACTGAACTTTAAACATGTAAGAATACATATACAATGTTTAATAAATAAATTCTGGGTTTTTTGCACCTCCCGCCTCTTTACACTTAGCCTGCCTTTCAGTCCAAGCTTGTTTGCATTTCATTGTGAACAACTCTTTTTCGTATTTATATGCTGTAGGTAGCATCCTATTTGGATTTAGTCTATATGTGGTTCTCATTGAAAACCTATTAAAATTATCATAAGGCACGTTCTTAATTTATTTGCTTCTTTCCTCCTCAATATCTGTGTGTGAGGTGTAAACATAAAAGAAGGAGTACAGCTAGAAGATACAGCCAAGAAAGGAAATGAGAGGGGCCCCTCCTCCGTGCTGGAAGAGGCACAAACACGTCAGATCTGAGTAGGAGACTTGACAGCAGCAGCAGCGAGTAGGGGACAAACAGACATCCCCGCTACATGGACAGATTGTAAAGCAGTGGGGAGTGGGTTCCAGGGAGTTGGTACACCTGTCAGCAAATACTGGTATCTGCAGATAACTTCTGAATCACAGCTCCCCCCTCAATTAAATCTCAAAACTGCACAAAGCACAGGCTCCCACCCTAATCCAGCTTCAGAATTGAACAAAACCAAAGGATCCACATAAGGAAGAACAGAAGAATGAACAAACAGAAAAAAAAGCTATCCCCCTATCACTGAACAACAGAATTAAAGAAGAGGTTAAAAAGGGGGGGGGGAGGAAAACCTATACAATTGAAGAAAAACCAAAGGAAGAATATGAGTCTCACACAGACCCATGCAAGGTCAGCCACTGAGAATATAGACTCCAGAACTCAAACAATGAAAAACCCCAGAATGACTGGACTCAAACCACAATCCCAGATATCAAGATATTAATAGAGAGAATAAATAGAAATGAGGAAAGAAAAAGAAAGATTGAAGGAGTTGATAACTGAGATAACAGCAATAAAGAATACAGTGAATGAAATAAACAACAAACTGATAAGCATGGAAAGCAGAATTAACTAAGCAAAAGAAAGAATCTCAGACCTTGAGGACCAAAATATGGAACTAACCCAAACTGTTAAAAACATAGAAAAGGCCGGACTCGGTGACTCAGCCTGTAATCCCAGTGCTTTGGGAGGCCGAGGTGAGTGAATTGCCTGAGCCCGCAGGTTCGAGACCCACCTGGGAAACTTGGCGAGACCTCATCTCTACAATAAATTAAAAAGTAGCTGGGCATGATAGCACGTGCCTGTAGTTCCAGCTACTTGGAAGGCTGAGGTGGAAGGATTGCTGGAGCCCAGCAGATTGAGGCTGCAGTGGCTGGGAGTGGCCACTGCACTCCAGTCTGGGTGACAGAGTAAGAATCAAACTCAAAAAAAAAGAAAAGAAAAGTTGGGGTCTCACTCTGTCAGAAACGTAGAAAAGAAGCTTAAAAAACAGAACAAACCCTCCAAGAGATGAACAATTATTTTTTTTATTTTTTTATTTTTTGAGTTGGAGTCTCACTCAGTCACCCAGACTGGAGTGCAGTGGCCGCTCCCGGCCACCGCAGCCTCGACCTGCTGGCCTCTGGCGATCCTTCCGTCTCAGCCTTCCAAGTAGCCGGAATTACAGGCACGTGCTACCACACCCAGCTAATTTTTTATTTATTGTAGAGTTGAGGTCTCGCTGCCCAGGCGGGTCTCAAACCCGCAGGCTCAGGCAATCCACTCACCTCAGCCTCCCAAAGGCGCGAGATTACAGGCTGAGCCACCGAACCCGGCTTGAGATGAACAATTATTTTAAGAGGCTAAACCTAAGATTAATTAGAATCCCTGAGGCAGATAGGGAGACAGAGACCACCCTGGAACAAGCACTCCATGGAATTATGCAAAAAAACTTCCCTCATCTCATCAATGATGTGACCATTCAAACACAAGAGATTCAGAGAACTCCTGCAAGATGACATGAGAAAACTAAGTCCCAGACACATAGTAATTCACCTACACAAAGTAGGTATAAAAGAAAAAATTCTAAAGGCAGAAAAAGAAAAGGTCGGATTACCTACCTGGAAAGACCAATTAGAATAGCAGCAGACTTATCCACAGACACACTTCAGGCTAGGAGAGCTTGGAGCCCCACCTTTGATGTTCTCAAAGATAAGCAATTTCAACCAAGAATTACCTATCCAGCTAAGCTAAGTTTCATCAGTGATGGAGAATTAAAATCCTTCCCAGACATTCAATCTCTAAGAGTTTACGCTGCCTTTAGACCAACTCTACAAGAAACACTTAAGAAAGTATAAGCACAGAAGATAGAAAAAAAAGAACGACGATGTCCTTCCCAAGAATCTAGGAAAATGTTTGAAAACACACATGAATCAACCTGAAAATCAAAAGAAAGACAACAAACAAATAAACAGCAGCAACAACAACAGACTCTATAAGAACCTCATGACATGGATAAACTCTTTCAATCTCAATAATTAGCCTGAATGTGAATGTACTGAATGCATCACTGAAAAGACATAGAATGGCAAATTGGATAAAATATCATGGGACTACAATATATCATCTCCAAGAGACTCATCTCACCAGAAAGGACACTCACAGACTCAAAGTAAGAGGATGGGAAACAAAATTTCAGGCAAATGAAACACAAAAGAAAACAGGAGTCATGATCTCAATGTCAGACAAAATACCCTTTAAGTTATCAAAAATTTAAAAAGATATGGAAGGTCACTACATAATGATAAAAGGTTCAATCCATCAACAACTAATATCCATCCTAAACATATATGCACCCAACATAGGAGCACCAACTTTCATAAAGCAGCTTCTAGGTAAGCTAAAAAAAGATATTGACTCTAACACTATCATAGCTGGGGACTTAAGCACCCGACTAACAACCCTAAACAGATTATCAAGACAAAAAAACAACAAGGAGATCCTGAACCTCATCATCCCCCCCAAAAAAAAATCAACAAGGAAATCCAGCACCTTAACATGATGCTTGACCAAATGTCTTTAATTGATACCTACAGAACACTCCACCCAACAACCATGGAATATACATGCTACTCATCACCACATGGAATGATACTCTAAGATCGACCACATCCTTGGCCGTAAATCAAGCATAAACAAATTCCATAAGATTGAAATTCTGTCTTGCACCCTTTCTGACCACAGTAAAATAAAAATAAATATCCAAACCAACAAAGTTCCCCCAAAATCCACAAAGACATGGACACTAAGCACCATGATGCCAACCAACTCTTGGGTCAACACAGTAATCAAAACAGAGATTAAAAGATACGTGGAAACAAATGAAAAATTAAGAAACAACTTAACAAAACCTCTAGAATGCCATGAAAACAGTACTAAGAGGGCAATTCATATCTGAACAAACACACATAAAGAAAATGGAAAGATCACAAGTTTGCCTAACAAATCACCTAAGGAAGCTGGAAAAGCAAGACCACCAAAACCCTAACTTCAGCAGAAGAATCTAGATCACCAAAATAAAAGCCCAAATTTGGGACATAGAAGACAAAAATATAATACAAAAAAATCAGTGAAACCAAAAACTGCTTTTTTGAAAGAATATACAAGATTGATGGACCCCTAGCTAGACTGACAAAGAAAAGGAGAGAAAAAGCCCAAATAAACACAATGAGAAATACAAAAGATCAAGTCACAACTGACCCCAAAGAAATACAGAAGATTATCAGAGATTACTATGTACACCTCTATGGAAACAAACTAGAAAACGTAAATGAAATGGAGGACTTTCTTACATCACACAACCTCCACAGGTTGAAACAAGAAGAAATCGAGACCCTAAATCAACCAAAACAACCCAGGAAATTGACTGTGTCATAAGAAATCTACTTAAAAAAAAAGCCCTGGACCAGATGACTTTCCATCAGAGTTCTACAAAATATACAAGGAGGAACTGATACCAATCCTATTGAAAGTATTCCAGGCAATTGAAAAAGATGGAACTCTCCCCAAATCATTTTATGAGGGTAACATCATATTGATACACAAACCGGGTAAAGATCCAACAAAGAAAGAGAACTACAGGCCAGTATACTTGATGAACATAGATGCTAAAATTCTCAACAAGATCCTAGCAAACCAGATCCAACAACACGTCTCAAAAATTATCCACCATGACCAATTAGGCTTCATCCCCAGGATGCAAGACCATTAAAGTAATTAAATACATCAACAGATGTAAAGACAAAAATCACATGATTATACCATTAGATGCAGAAAAAGCTTTTGATAAAATCCAGCACCCCTTCTTGATAAAAACCCTCAAACATCTAGACATGGATGGAACACACCTCAAAATAGTAACAGCCATCTATGAGAAACCCACAGCCAACATACTGTTAAACAAACAGAAATTGTAACCATTTCTCCTGAAAACCAGAACAAGACAAGGATGCCCACTCACCCCTCTTGTTCAACATAGTATTATAAGTCCTAGCTAGAGCAGTCAGACAAGAGAAGAAAATCAGGGCTATCTGAATAGGAAAAGAGGAAAA